GTCCCCTGTGCCTGACTAGGTTTGCCCTTGCAGTTGCTTAAGCAACTGAGCTCACTTGCAAGCCGCTTTGAATAAACATTTTAAAAGGTAATTATTTCGGATAAGGTTATCATACCAATAATCACCTTCTCAAAATGAGGGAAATAAATCAATAAACTCAAACTTAATAGTTTTCCATTACTCAGTGACTGGTGACTGGGTAAGAAGGGATAGAAAAATGCACGTCTGGTTTAGAGGGCCTGTGATTTCATCCTGTATCAGTTTTCTTTTCCTGTCTCAAATGCAGATGTGATGCTCCATATGAAGCCATCTTTTTAGAACCTTAAACATGGTTGTGAAGTGGACATATCAAATATAATGAAGTACAAAAATGATAAGAATTTGTACAATTAAATACATACCTGCATTCTGACTTCAGATTACCGTTGGATATTTTTCGGTTTTTATACTTTTAGCCTAAAGTAAATCATGACTGATATTCAATTTTTTTAAATTTTCTTTTTTAATTGAGAAGATTCTGAGAACCTGGTTTGAGAATTCCATACCGCAACATTTTCACTGAGCATGCTGTAACATATTCTACTTTTCAATGATTTCTTATATTTTAGTATCTCCTTTGTGTCAGAATTTTGTCAAGAAGCTGTGTGCAGCATGATCCTTCCAATGATAAAATCTAACATCTAGTCTTAGAGATGCATGAATTACCTTTTGAACTAGCCCATGTGGTGTCCAGCTTTTTAGATGAATGCCCAAACTGCAACCAAAAGCCAATTATTTATCTCTAAGTGCCAGCACTACAGTTAAACTTGAATACTGAAGTATTAGCTTAGAAAAAAACAATTCATACACTAACATTTTTGGCTTAAAAAATGATAACACATGTGCTACGGTCTTGCCCCCACTGCTTTAGACCAAGTTTCAAATAATCAAGCATGCAATCTGCAACAATTTTTGTTTCACTGAAATATTTTATTGTCTTGAAGATTCAGGGAAGAGAAGAAACATTATTAAGAAAAAGAGTACAAAATTAAATCTAGGATTATTATCCACAAATGTACCTTAAATTATCATATTTTGAAGGCAAATAACATGCATTGGTGTAATGTCAGTTTCACTGGAAACCAAACTTATATAAGAAATTCACTTCTACATACGTCCTTCAATCTAGTTCCATCTATCCTATGAGAGCAACAGCAGTGTCCATAAAACAGTATAACCTTGTTTACTGATATAATTTATGTAAGCACAGTCTATAACATGTCCCATTTGGGACTGATGTCTACACTGAATTTTCAAGATAAATGGAAATACAGTGTTTTAATTTTCAGCAGATGTGTTAATAGTTTACCATGAACAATACAAAACAGGAAATTTATAACTCACTATGATGTATATTTATACTGATGGAGCAAAATATATGAAAGGAAAAATTTCAAATTCACTGCTCACAGTTTCACAGATTTAGTATGTGATGTGAATTAAGTTCAAACTAGGTAATACACTAAATGTTACATATTATAAATTTTTTAGATTTAACTAAAATGTATTAAAATATTGAAACACGGTTCTTTGAAAAATCATTATCTTTCTTCAAAATCTGCTCTTAAGCAGTCTGATATTTCTTATCAACCCTGAGAGTTTTTAGTTTAATAGTATAAAGTGATTATAGTAAATTAGTGTATATGTATACATATCATATAGTATATGCATATATACATACAATAGTATATATATGCATATATAGAATACATGTGTTTGTGCTTATGTATTTGTGACTTTGCTAATGTGACAATTTTCATCAAATTAATTTTGCTATAAGTTCCTTTGACTTAACTTTGGGTAAAAAAAATAATAGCTGAACGTTATTCAACTTTTTCCAAGTGTGGATTTGCGAGAAGTATTTAAACACACCAAGAGTTCATTATCCTAGTTCTTGTTTTGCTATGTAAAACATTTTTTTGTTCTTGTTTCATTATTTATTTGCCAAGCATTTCTCAAGGTGTAAGCATCCTGCTGCTGTGTTTAGAGAAATAAACCTAATATTGAACTGCTAATTGAAGAATCCAAAATATTGCTTTCTTGACTTCTACGAACCATAAATTTCATTGTTTCTCTACTCCTTCCCAAAAAGAAACCTTTCACATATTTCTGTTTTTCCTTATAGAAGTTCAGTTTAAGAAAGTAAATTGTTGTTTGCAAAGCTTCCCATCTTCTATAGTTGCCTCTAAATTGTATCGATATTTATTTCTGTAATCCTGCCTTCATTCTACAGCTAAATTCAAATCTCATTGGGACTCAAGCACTTGCTTCCTTCTTAGCTTATTGTTATACTCTTCAAGATTGTACTCTTCATTGTAAAGGATCAAAATGCATTTTTATTACTAGTTTTACCAAGTGACCTTTCAAAATAACTAAAAACAAGAGGATCACTACAAGTCTGAGCTGTATAGTGAGACCATGTAACAAATACATAAAACGAAAGAATAAGAATAAAAATAAAAATTAATAAAATTGAGGAGAAACAATCATACAGAAAAAATTATTGAAAGCGTTTGTTGATTAGAGCTGTAAGATGAGAGCAAAATCTAATCTTTATGCTAAATTAAACATGAAGGTGTAAAAAATCTTATTTAACACAATGCTTGTCCAAAACTGAATGTGTGAAATAAATGTCTACTCAACTTTAAAAATTATTTTAATGGCTTTATCATACACTTTTTAATGCAGATATTTAATGACTGTAAAGAAGAAAGATGAATGAAGAGGTTAGAAAGGATATAAATAAAGGGTCATTCTTTCTTAAATATGTCATCTAATATTATTTGTATGTTTGCCAAAAGGAGTATTCACTTGGGGATTGTTGTACTTTGGATCTAGAATTGCCTCCAAGTATCTCATGTTGATAGTTATGCAGCTATGTTTCCAGCTGGGGCTTGGGAATGTGAAAGTCCAAACCTGAATAGGCCTTAGAACACAGGACCTGGTTGGCCAGGTGTCTCTCCCACACTCCTTCCTCCCTAGCTCTCTCTTTCTCTACTTGCTACCCTCCGTGCAGTGAGTTGTTCTGTTTCACCTCATGCTCTCACGCAGGCCCAAGGCACAGAGCCACTCACCAGGGAGAGAAATCTCTGAGGCCATGGCCCAGGTCAACTTTTCTGCCCTTGAGTTGATTTCCTTAGATTTTAGATACACGGTCAATATATGCATGAAAACAAACAAACATATGTACATAAATACATAATTACATAAATTAATGTTGACTAAAACAGAAGGGTATAAGTTAACCAATAATTTACATTCATGCAGAAAAGCATATACAATGCTTTTGAATTTAGTCAAGCAAGTGTTAATATTGGTTTAGCTTTCATTCCAAAATAGTTTGTGTGGGTAGATACACCCTGATACTTTGCCCTGTTTCTATAATGAGAGTAAAAGGTGATGGCTGAAAGTAATGACTTCACTTAGTTAAAAAGCCTGGATTCAAACTCTAATGATGTTTCTACTATCACTGTGACCTTGGGAAATTGAATTTTTCAGCACCTAAATTTCTTAATACTACAGCATTGCTTTATATATCATAACTAAGTTCCACTTGCTAAGTGTCTGTCTTGCCCATTTGATCCTGATTTAAACAATTTTACCTGAGCAATTATGTTTCTTATCTTACTGGTTGATCATAGTTTTGTCCCGCTTCATGCCCATCTTGTAAGTTCTCATATTTTCAACTTAGAACTGCTTCACCTCATAGATTTGCTCTATAAAAATCCCTAGAAAAGGCAGGGTCCTTGGCAACCCACTCAGGTATGCTTCTGTCCTTTTCTTGGGCATATGCTTTCTTTCTCCTCAATAAATATATTCTGCTCTTTAAAAAATTCTGATAAGCTTCTGGAAAGACACAAAAAGAAAAATAAAGACAAAGCACCACTATCAATGTCAGCAATGAAAGAAGATATTACTTCAATTTCTGCACATATTGGAAAGTAAATAAGAGGTTGTTACACAGGATTATATACCTATAAACTTAAAGTAGTACATGAAATGAAACATGTTTGATAAACTGAATTGAAATGCACCAAAACATTTGATAGAAAAACCAGATCTGAAAATGAATAGAATCTCTTTGGGGATATAAAACTTACATGCAAATAAATCTCCAAAATCAAGATGGCTCTATTGGTAAAATGTTTCATATAAAAACACAGTGAGCTTACACAGAATTTTCAGAAGAATTAAAACAAAACACACAAATTCTAAACCTATAGAATCCACCGAGTGATACAAAAAGTACACTGAACATTGTATGATGAATCCAAGCCATGCTCCCTTAGATAAAAATGTATACAGTGATCTAAGAAAATCTTAAGTTTTATGAAAATAAAATATGAAAATTAAAGGTAGAGAAACTTCTCATAATTATAAAAATACATTAAACTACAGATTCCTGATAATCAGTAAATGCAAAGATGTTAAAAAGGAAGACAACTGTGATTAGCGTATCTTAGTGAAAACTAAAGTTAAATAGAGCATCTTAGAAACAGCCAGAAAGAGAAAAGTTTAACACAGAGTATAATGATTTAATTGAAAAAAATTTCACATTAGAAAATACTGAGGCAAGAGTGTGGGATGATACCAACATGGTGCTGAACATCCCTAACATCTATATTCAATGAACTATTCATCAACTAATATTAAATCATTTTCTTCCTTCCTTCTTTCCTTCCCTCCTTCCCTTCTTCTTTCCTTCCTTCTTTTTCTTTTCTTTTTTTTTAATTGTATCTGGTTGTTATAGGGTCTCACTATGCTGTTTGGACTCCTGGTGATCCTCCTCCTTTCAGCCTCCCCAGCGCTGGGATTACAGGCATGCACCACCACATCTGGACTCTGGCCTGATCAGCCCACCCTGGGTTGTGGCTGGTGGGGGGTGTGGTGGTCAGGATCAAACTGCTATCCCTGAGCCTGACTAAGCAGGTGCTTTAGCCACGGAACTATCTCATCAGCCCTAAAAAAAGTGCTTAGATATTATGAAGAAGGTGCCAATGCCTTAACCATGCAGGTCTTGTCAGGCCCAAAGACCTCTTATATCCTTCTCAAGGGGAGTGTTAACCTTCTCTCTTTTCATACAACACGATATTTTCTGATAAAATTAAACTGAGACAAATTTTTAACCCACACATGCGCAGCATAGGAATCTATACAAGGAAGTCCATAAGGTAAAGAGAAGTAGTACTAGAAGATAATTCATACTTTCAATAGGAATGAAGTAATTGAATATGATATGTATATGAAAAACAACTGAAGACATTTCCTTCTAAATTTCTTTTAAATTTAAGTCAATGTTTAAAGGAAAAAAGATATTTTCACATAAAACAGTTAAGGTTTTGAAGTTTTAATACCTTTGATAATTCAAGCATAAAATTATGTCAGGATGCATGAGTGAATACACCTATATTGTTTTGAGCTTGGGTTTTACACATACTAGATTAATGTTATTTTTCCAGGGGAAATGAAATGTTAAGAAATTATGCTTTCTAGGAAAACTCCTTATCCAAGGTAAAAAATGAAATCTAAAAATGAATTAAATAAGAAAACAGTCAGACCAAAAAACAAAACAAAACAAAAAGGAAAACGAATATTGCAAATGAATATTTTCAAACATTCATATAATCCAGGAACAGAAAAATCTTTTCATGATAATTTTTGTTTCCAGTATACCATAGCAAGAGTTTATTTCTATTATTTAATGTTTTATCTATTTAGGGAGAAGTCTGACTACTAGGTAACCCACAGAAAAACATTTATTCTCAGCATCATCCTTTGCTTTTATTCAAAGGGTAATGCAGTTAAAAGCCAATTTATGCAGTTCATAGCTTATAAGTATTATCTCTCCATTTATTATTTGCTTGACACTCCTGGTGGTGCACATTGTAGATGAGCTTAAGCTCTGTAAACTTCAACTATGTGTTTTATTTCTTTGTATATGTTCAAATGCAATTTTAACATCTCATCTTATATACATATTTAGACATACTAAAAGTTAAGACTTAAAATATTGGCAACAGCGGCCTTCTTTTTCTAAAATTTTCTAAGAAAATATAAGTATTTCATGTTCTTAATTTTCTTTATCAACTGTTATACTTTTATAAATCCAGAAATATTAAAGTTTTGATATTTAAAAATAAATAAGTGAATTAATTGACTACTCCAACTCACTTAATTTGAAGGTCAGTCATGCAGTTCCATTAAATATCATCAGAATTCATGGGAGACAGAGTTGGCATTATCAAACAAGACCTCACTGTAGTGAAACATCTAAGAACTCTTTCCCCTGTAACAAATCCCTAAATGATTTTTAAATTGTACTCAGATAATTAATGTCAAAGTTCAAATTAGTCAAATTTTGAGAAATATAATACTAAGAGATACATCTGTGGAGCTCAGACTTGTATTTCAAAGTACATCTCAAAATAGTTTACTTCTCCTTAAGATTTAGTTTTTTAGTATCTTTATTGTGTAACCTAGAACACTATTTCATACATTTCGTTGTTATTAAAATCTTAATTTGTATTCATTTTATAAAAAATTTATATATGTTTCTATGTATTAAGTACTGTTCTAGGTGAAGTGGAGAAAACAAAATTCCTTCTGTCATAACTTGTTAATTTAGAACAATTGATCATTAACCAAGCATATCCATAATACGTCAGAGATGATAAGACATTCTATTTTCAAGAGTATTCATTATCCAGTGAAATATGGCTTCTCTGATTAACATTTGAACAAAGATCTGAAACTAGTGAAGGTCTGAGTCATTAGATTATACAGGTACAAGCTTTAAAGATAAAGGCAACAGTAGTAAAAGCACTGCGTTATACAGTATATCTATAACATCATGTAATCTGTAATCTGACTGTGGAATAAGTGGGCAAATTAGTAAGAAACCAATATTGATAACATAGAACCAGCACACAGGGAGTGCCTCGGGTTATACTTGGACATAGATACAAAAACAATGGAGATTTCAGAAGAGAACTGACATGGTATGCCAGTTTACTTTCTCACTATGATTGTATGTGAACCATATAAAATTGAGTATGGGAGTATAAAAGCAAATTAAAATGGGTCAGAATAAAAAAGTTGGTAAAGTGGGATTAAGACATCAATTTCTAAGTGTATTCTGGAAATTTGAAGTAATATAATTTGTTGATTGATTCTTTATGGGAAATAAAGTGCCGTTAAAGTGACACATCATTTTGTTGTTGTTGTTGTTGTTGTTGTTGTGGTACCAGGAATTGAACTCAAGACCTTGCACTTGCCAGGCAAGTACTTATTCTACTGAGCTATCTCCCTAGCCCCTGATACATCATTTTTGAAGTAGACAACTAAAATAATAGCTTGTTATGAATATGAAAGATTAGAGAGAAGTAAATAAAGGCTGGCAAACAAGGAGTTTATTAAGTACAGAGGCATATGAACTGTGTGTATAGGAGGGTTCTAAAACATGTAAATGGTATTTATGAATAATTTCTGGGGATTGGGGAGATAGTTCAATAGAACAAGCACTTGCCTGGCAAGCGCAAGGGCCTGAGTTCAATCCCTGGTTCCACAAAAAAACAAAACAAAACAAAGAAAGAATAAAATAATTTCTATATTTAGGGACTGGTAAGATAGCTCAGGTTCTAAAGAGCCTGCTTAGGCAAGCTTAGGAAGGCGCAGGGGACCGTTCCAATCCCTGGCAAAACATATTGCACCAGGCCTGCCCTCAGGGCAGGCTGTGCCAGCCCTCCCCCCAAAAATCCATATTTATAATTGTAGTAATAAATTAAGCATCTTTAAAAGAGCATGGAAATTAAGTAAATTTGTGGCCAATTGTGGGTCTACAGTGTGGCAAATTGAGAGGTAGGAACCATAAATGGAGCCTGCAAAAGAGAATGAAGTCCAGTGAAGTGAGAATATAAACTAGAGAGAATGAAGTCCTCACACTGGAATCTTAAAGCAGTGAACGGATCGATAGTAGCATGAGTGTTTATCTATTCACTTTTCCCTTTCAATTTTAAATGAAGTGTTTCACTTTTAAGAGGGCAGAGAAATGACAGAATGCATAAAATAGGAGTCACATGAGGTTTTCTGTTTTGATTTAAAATGAGTAACAAGAGGATGGATCCCTTGTAAAAGGAAAGAGATAAAATAGAACATGGTTGAAAGGTGAGGGAGAGGGAAGGAAGAAGTAAGTAGAACAAAAATATGTATGTATAGGAACCTAATAATTTCAAGGAACCTAAATGTTATAGGTTATAAACAATAACTAAGATTTTTTTTCCTGCATTTTAGGAAAGGGTCTACAGGGTGTTCAGGGTCTCACCACTAGATCGGACTCATAGTGACCTGCCCGTTTACAGCCTCCCAAGAGCTGGGATTACAGGAGCATGCCACCACACCCAGTCTAAATTGCCATCTCAGCGGCACAGCGGGCCCGGAATCTAACCCCTGGCCCCTGCGCCTGCTTGCAGGTGCTTTAATTCACTGAGCTATTTGTCAACCCTCAACAATTAGGATTAATGTGAACAAAAATGAAAACAGGTAAAAGGGAATTAGAGAATAAAGGAGTGGGAGGAAAGGAAAAGGGATTTTAAAAAATACCAAGTTGTAATTCATACATGTACTTACCTCCAAACATGACTAAACTGCATGTACTGCAAATAGGTACCAATTAATAGAAATAAATATATTTATATCTTGGTAATGAAAACTCATATCAAAATAAATTAAATTGTGATATAGAAGACACTTAGGCAGTTAATGTTCAAAGTTTCAGTAGAAAGAAATGGTAGGATCTAGATTACATGAACCAATGGCAAACAGAGTCCTTGGATGTTCACAGAAAAAGTCAAGAAGTCGAAGTCAGCCTGCCCCTGTATGAGTCTCAGTTTCTCCAAGGAACAAACCCACTCTGAACTTTACTCCCACCCAAAGAGCCACCTGTCAGACTCTAGTCCAGCTGCTAGTTTGTTCCTCTGACTCCAGGGGAAAGAGAAGGTATGACAAAGAAGAGTTCAGTGTAGCATAAAGACAGCTAGGCAACTCTCCTCTAGGGCAGTCGAAACCTGGAGCCTTTGCCTCTGCTGCTTTTATGCACACAAACAAGGGCACAGGTAATTAAATACCTGTTCCATATTATGCCTAAGATGTTTGATATGCAGACAGATAGTGAGGTTAAGCTTAACACCCTAAGTTGTATGGTAATAACAATAAGCTTGTCTTCTGGATGGTTAACAACATAAGTTTGCAGACCAAAATTAAAGAAAAATGAGGGCTGCAAGGAAAGCCAACATTTTGGCCCTAGCCTTCTAAGGTCAATTAAGACTCAAGACATATGAGAACTTGTACTGTAATGTCATGTAACTCAGTAGTGTCCCAAACTTTCTTATCAAGGAGATTATGGGGCCAAAGAGGAAAGTGATTGATGATGTAGAGTGTGCCTAAGGAGAGTCACATGGAGAGAAAACATTCTCTCAGGCTTTCACAGAGAGCACATTGGCCAAGCAATGGCCATGACTCATCCACATGGCTGACACTGACAAAGGTTCTACATTCTGAGGTACAGGATCTCAGGATAAATCCTGAGGGGATTTCACTGACCTTATCAGACCCAAAAACTACAACTCTTGTTGCGTAGGTCCTACTTTACCTTGATCTTAACCATCCAGCAGAAAAGTATAAAAACGAAATATAAGAAGTAAAGCCATGCTGTTATGTTGAGCTATAGGGGACTCAGGTCAACAATTTCTGACATTGCCAGTTAAGTGGAAGACTCAATACTATTATGGGCTACTGGACTCTTTTAGAATATTTTGCTGAGTTAACACACCCATAATATTCAAATAACGGAACTTAACAACAAAAAGGGGATGCAGAAGAATGTCTATTTTGTATCTGTGTATTCAAATGGCTAGATTGATATACAGTTACATTCTGTTAATGAATAGAGGGATTTGTTCTAATGGTGTTTGTAAGTAGGATATCATGTCTGCATCTTGTACAGCAATTAACCACTAGGAAGAATGTATACAATGTGTTAATTATTGAAACTGTCCTACCAGTTTGGTTTGAAACTGTCTCATTTCTATTT